ATGTTCTCGTTTACAGGTCGTTGGAGTACACCATTCATAACCATGAACTCACTGATACAAGGAAAAAGTTGGATGAGGTAAAGACGTCCTTTTCACAGCAATATTACATAGATTACAACATATGAACAAAATTGACATAAAACTCGTTTACTCACAGCTCCAACCTGATTATGATTTTCATATTTTGATCTGTAAAAAGTATGTTGCTACGGTAATATTGAAATCTTTATTGCAGTTGTCAGACCGAAGAGAGAACAGTGGTGAGAGATCTAAACATCTTAGGGACAGACATGAACTTGCAGTTCAAAAAGTCAAGGTAATATAAGCAAACTTTTCACTCGCATTTGTCCACGAACAAAACCAGCAAACAAATATTACTGTATCACTGGGTGGTTTGACATGAGGCTTCAGAGTTATGATTTCCAAACTTACGTGATAATGTTTTAGTCATATGTAGTAGGTTTTGACTAGTAGTAAAAACTTTGTATGTCAAATACATGACAATCGCTTTGCGAATTAATGCCTGAAAAAATAATATACACATTTTGGAAGCTGATAATTATTGCACGCTATTAACATTTTGTTTAAAGGAGGGGTCTAGACTTAAATGAAAAAAAACCACACCATATTCTGAGCTTTGGATGATGCAAAACCGTCCTTGAACCTGAAATTTATCATGCTGTATTTGCTCTATTAGTATCACTTGTGCTTGCATACTGTAAAATGACTAATTTTCACTGGGTTTAAATTTCACTGATTTACCATTTCAGGCTTACTCAGTGCGTTTTAAATTCACAGTTTTATCATTTAGATAATGTGTTCTATGCTAAATTTTACATATTTACTGGGTTTTAATTCAGCACATTTTCCAGTCAGCGAAATAAGCAAAATTAAAACCCAGTGAATAATTAACCCTTTTACAATAAATGATAGGTGTATTTGTGGTCAAAATAATTTTGATATTGTAATATATCTTGTTTGTACTTTTGTTTGTTTTATAGGAAATTCAGAAAGGCACACGTGAGATCAATACTAGATTACGTGTTATCTCTGAAGAGAAAGATGTCATGAACAATGAAA